TCTATCTATCTATCTATCTATCTATCTATCTATCTATCTATCTATCTATCTATCTATCTATCTATCTATCTATCTATCATCCACCAATCTAGCTTCCTTCTATCTGTCTGTCTATCTATCATCCAACCACCCATTCACCCACCCACCCATCTATCAATCTATCAAACATCCACCTACCTACCTACCTACCTACCTACCTACCTACCTACCTACCTACCTATCATCCATCCATCTGTCTGTCTGTCTGTTACCTATCTATCTTCTATTTATTTATTTATATCCCACGTTTGGAGGACATGAAAAGGAAGATTGCATTATTTTTGGCAACTGGGCATCCCTTGAGCAACGGTGAAGTTGTGGGCAAATCCTTTCAACCCAGATAGAAGCATCCTTTGGCTACCTTTGTAGGTCCTTCTGACACAAATATAGACGGATGGATGGATCCCACCTATATTTTTTTGCCAAGGCAGCAAACACATTCAACACACCTTCCTCCTCCTATTCTTCCCCGCAACAACCCTGTGAGGCTGCACAGAAAATTAGCAAGAGCAATAGATATCTTCACAGTAGATGCCTACAACAACTCATGTCCCTGATTAGGATGTGATTCTATAGAAAGATTGAAAGAAAATCAGATTTGGATCAATCTCAGACAGGACATATTTCAATGAAAGCCCCCTTCAAAGGCTGCTATGAAAGGAAGCGATCACTACGGAGCCAAATCATAGAATCTGAGGGCAGAAAGGGACATTCCCGTCACTGAGTCCAGCACCTGTTTGGGACAGGAGTCCAAATCAAGAGCCCTCCAACAGGTGGCCATCTAGCTCCTGAGATGGCTACTCTTAAGGGCACAGGTTAAAGAATGCAACGCAACCGCTGCCTTTATAACATGATCTACTATCACACAGCTCGGCCCAGCATTGCAACTTGTCAGAGAAGCAAGCAGAATCTGAAAGGTCATGTGTGTTTTGTCATTTCTGTTTATAGTATAAGCACCTGCCACAAGGTACCCGTAGCACAACTGGGGGGAGAAGCAAAAAGTCAGGCAGCTCCTGATGAGGGTCGATTTTTTTTGTACCTCCATGTACAATTTCGCAATGTACCAAATGTGGGAATGCTGTAGGATAATGGTTGACTTTTCATCTGCGGTGCCATTTGCCTTTTATTTTAACGGAGAATGTAAGCAGCCTGCAGAATTGTGCAACTCTGCAGGTCTAAAAATAATCCTCACAGCTGTGTACGTTCACAGACTGAAAAATAGCCTGGGGAAAAAATAATAACGTTCGGGGCAGAGATATCGCTCTAACCTTCGAAGTTTGAGAAAGCAAAGATCAATGGGAAATTAGAATAAAATACATTGGGGGATTTGAAATGTAGGCGAGAAAGAGCCTCGTGTCCTATGGACTGTGCAAGGGAGCCCACTCTGCAGCCATGGAAGGGAAGATCTCTCTCAGGGTTGAGGTCCTATCCCGTTAACGTTTTGAAGGTCTGCTGTCAATCAATGCTGACAATACCAGGTAAGATGTGTCAGAGTGCACACAGTGTGATTAGTATTTTGAGACAACTCAGGAGCAAAATACAGGACACAGAGGTTTATCTTACAAACAGTGGTTTATATATAAGACTTCTATATACAAGGCATGCAGGACATATATATACATACACATATACATATACATATACATATACATATACATATACATATACATACATACATACATACATACACGTTCTAGGCACAGCTAGATAGTTTAATAACTGGGTGTGATCTAAGAATACATCATAAGTTCCACATATGCTCCAGGGAGACCCAGGTTCCAGCCTCTTTTTGCCATAGAAACTAACTGGATGACTTTGGGCCTATTAAAGTAACCTACATCTCAGGGTTATCGCAGGGGGGAAAAAATGAGATGAAGGACTGTTTGCTGTCTTGACCTCCTGATACGAATATAACAAACAAATACATAAAATATTAAATCTTGAACAAAGGTGAAATGTTGCAGGATCCAATCTGGGTCAGTCCAGAAAGAAATTCCCTGAAAATAGGCTCCAGCACAAGTCTGAAAGCTCAGAAGACAAAACTTCTAGTCCCGGTGACTGACCCAGACTGGATCCTGCAAAGTATTAAATAAACAGTGATGAGAATATATAGGGCAATGGGTTGAATCAAAGCAAACATTTACGGGTGTTATTTTATCGGGGCAACCTGGTCTACCCAAATATAGGACGGAGCATACTGCTTCCACTTTCGCCTTTCAGCCCCAATCCAGGAGCCTTTGTAGCCAGTCGCTTTCATGACAAACTTTTTGTTTGTGTATGTATATGTTAAATTTATAGATAAAGGTAAAGGTTCCCCTCGCACATAATGTGTTAGCCATTCCCGACTCTAGGGGGCGGTGCTCATCTCCATTTCAAAGCCGGAGAACCAGCGCTGTCCAAAGACGTCTCCGTGGTCATGTGGCCGGCATGACTCAACGCCGAAGGCGCACAGAACTTTTTTCCCTTCCCACCAAAGGTGGTCCCTTATTTTTCTACTTGCATTTTTATCTGCTTTTGAACTGCTACGTTGGCAGAAGCTGGGACAAGTAATGGGAGCTCACTCAGTTATGCAGTACTAGGGATTCCAACCACCGAATTGCTGACCTTTCTGATCGACAAGCTCAGTGTCTTAGCCACTGAGCCACCTTTTGAGCCACCACATCCCTTTATGAGCCACCGTGTTAAATTTATATTTACCAACAAAAAAATAAAGGGAGACGAGTATAGATCTATTTCAAGCTACCGTATTTAGCTCTCGTCTAAAGCAAACGATAGTGAACTGGATGGGAGAGAAGCATTGTAGGTTTTATCTCTTGGAATTTATATTAAAGAGATTATATTTTAAAAAAGAAATCCGGGGAAGTCATGACTGGATGGTGATTTTCAGCTTGAAGAAGGGACATGAGCTTAACAGATACAGCAGCAAGCTTGTGGGGCAATCAGTGCCTTGAGCCAATTGAATTTCATTGTCCTCTCCTGGCCCCCAGGCCTGGCCAAATTTAGATCTGGCTTAATGGGCCTGCGATGAAGCCAGCTCCATGTAATTCCCTGAGTCTGCAGAAGATCTTTATGGTTGGCCTCCTGGAGCCAAGGGGGATGGGAAGGTGTGGGACACTGGGAGAGCGCTGTTTGCGAGCCAACTTAAAAGTGGTAAGCTTGTCCATACTGTAAAGAGGTCGTCCTCAACTTACAACAGTTCACTTAGTGATTGTTCAAAGTTACAACAGTACTGAGAAAAGTGACTTATCATTGTTTTTCACGCTTAGGGCCGTTTGCAGGATCCCCATGGTCAAAATTCAGATGCTTGGCAACTGGCTCACAAGGGAGCCCAACATTTCTGTTGTTAAGCAAGACATTTGTTAAGGGAATTTTGCTCCGTTTTACGAACTTTCTCACCACAAATCTTAAGTGAATCACTGCAGTTGGTAAGTTAATAACAAGGTTGTTAAGTGAATCTGGCTTCTCCATTGACCTCTGCTTGTTAGAGATCGCACTGCAACTGTCATAAATATGAGTCAGTTGCCAAGCCACGATCCAGTGACCGTAGGGATTTTGCAATGGTCGTAAGTGTGAATAATGATCATAAGTCACTTTTTTCAGTACTGTTGTGGCTTTGAACGATCGCTAAATGAACTGTTTTAAATTGAGGACTACCTGTATATCTCTAAGTGGATAAGGGTAAATGGTTTTCCTTTCAATTATCCGATCCCAAGACAATTTGCTGTAAGAGGTAAATTCTCTTTTTGGCAGATTTCCAAAGAGACCATTTCCCCTTCTCTGGCCAAAGGATAGAGCTGATCTCAGCTTTAATCTTCTACCATATCCCTTCTGAAGCAGATGAATAAAGAAGCCGGAATGCGCTAATATTCTATTACGAATGAAGAATAGAATAGAATACGGAATCAGCATACATTAAAATGAAATTATATTGCATTCCGCTCTCAAAATAACCATTATACATGCACGCCCCCCCGCCCCCCAAATATGACACGGAAACATCACAGTCTAGTTCGAATGTATACATATACACGGCAGAGAGGGGGGGAGTAAATCTTGCAAGTTTACCAGATGGATGGCCCCTAGGGAACAAGGCTGTTCCAGAATCTAGGAGCCCTGCTAAAAATATTTCTTTGAAACCTCCTCCCAGAGGGGAGCGACAGAAACAGGCCATGGAGTGGCTGTGTGGGGTCTCAAACAATGCTTTGAGCTCTAAGCACAATAGCGCTTATTTCAGTAGAGAGATGTTCCCTGTGGATAGGCTCCAGCATGAGTTTGAAAGCTCAAAAAGAACATCTCTGGTCCTGCTGACCAACCCAAATTCGATCTCGTAACATTCTATTATCTAGATTTCTCTATAATCCACCGAAATTAATTTTCTGTCCACAAATCTACCCTGCAAACATGAACTAAGC